TTCTGGCTTCATCGATTAGGCCTTTAGAGGATTTTCCTCTAGAAAAGTGGAAGCCCTCCTGGTGGGAGGCCGTCTGGCCTTTGTCTTTGGTAGGGATTCCACCTTAGTGTCTGGTGGAGACAATTGAGCGTAATTTTGTTCTAATCGACCAACTACATTTGTCAGCTTTTCTAGGGCATCCTTCATAGCAGTCATTTGCTAGTCTCTCATTCTATTTTGATCTTGCCGTCTTGGGAAACTATGCGGGGTATCAGTCTCATGGGGGCGGGTATGAGACTAATTTTAGGAAGTAGAGCTATGACTCATGGCTTTCGTTTAGACCGTTGTTTTGTGGGGAAAATGGGGCTATTTTTCACAATAGGGGCCTTCCTTTTAGCGCCAAACTGTTGGCGTAAAAAATCGTGAAGACTAATTTTAAAAATTTTAAAGCCAACTTCAGAAAAAAGGACCATTCGTATTCATTTAGAGAGATCAATTTGTACACTTTTTCTCTCATATTTTCCCTTTTTTGAAGGGGGAATCATTTCCCACTATTTATAAGGGATTGGCCGAAATTATATCATTTCAATCAAGTCGGCCACTTGTGCCGAGCTTAGGCTACATGTCATCAATCTCTCCCTTAATTGGTTAATGAGGTCGGCAGCCAACACATCATTGTTTACTTTAGATAATGATAGACTGCAAAGGACATGGTAGCCAAGGCGGTTGATTTGTGGGTATATGCAGTGTTGACGTCATCTTCAACAAGTGTACGTGATTGAAGGGATGATGTGATTGGATATAAGGAATCTGTAATCATTATGTCTTTTGAGGTTACGGCGACAATATGCCGAGCTGAGCTTTTATGATCGAGCTCACACACGTATGAGGTGGGCCTTGCAATCAATAGAGTAAGATCGGAGTTCGGTTATGAACAAAGGGAAAAAAGAAGGAAATGGCTGATTGGTTTGAGTATGTTCATTATAGAGAATATTGTGGAAAACTTAGCCCCAGTTTGGCCACCATTATTCCTCATTAAATTATAATTCATTTCTCTCTCTCTCTCTCCTTATCAACAAAACATTTTCAATAAAATATATTATATGTAAATTCAAAAGCTTTTCCTTTTTTTTTAACCATATATTCCTTAAAAAATTACTATTACTCTCGTTATAATGTGAAATAATGTGGGCCAAACAAGCACTGAGTTAAGTCATCAATTAAATCCATAGTAAGTTTTAAGTTTGAATCATATGTAATTGGGCAACTTTTGCTTTGGTTCATGGCGGATCTAGCTTTAATTGGGGTAGATATTCAAGAATTTATTGGTCGTGCAATTGCTATCTAGGTTTTGAGTTGTGGGACAATACCGCTTTGAGCTGGGGTGTTGATTACGACTTTTTATAGCATATTAATTGTGGGAAGAAAATGGAAAATTTGTAGGAAGACGAGAATACCCTTTCATTTGGATAGGAGTAGTGTTCACGCGTTCATTTAACGAAGCATTTGGATGAAAATGGATGAAAAAATACGTTTTCCAGTAAAAGTGGAATTAAGGGTAAAATGACAAATATTAAAGTATATGAGCATTTTGCACAATAAAAATGAAAGGTTGAGACATTTTGTGCTAATTACCATTTATATTAAGCTCATATTTAATTCTCATTCTTTGAAAAAAAATCATTCTTAAATAGTGTTTTGACATCATTTTAATCTCACATTTTTCAATAAAATAATATTACACACAAATTCAATTTTTTTCTTATTTTTAAATTACACATTTTTCATCAATATACTATTAAAAAATTCATTTTTATCAAAAGAATGAAGCTCAAACAAGGGCTAAACCTTTGTTCAATAGATTTTGATCAAAATTGAAGAAATGTATTGTTAAAAAATTGTAGGACCCATAAGACATGTGGTTAAAATTAATTATTGACTTTAACTTAAAATTAGTACAATACGAGACTAAGTACTTGTTTGGGATAGTTTAAATAGTTGTTAAAACGTCGAGGTTAAAATTCATAATAAATTTTAATCACATATTTTATGAGACTCATAATTTTTATTAATTTTTTCCATAAATTTCACGAACTTATGAATCTGTTAAAATTTTATCAAAAGTTTAGTCAAACAAACCTAAGCCCCTACTTGATTGCCATTAAATTAAAATTCTTTTTTTACACACTCATTTTCAACTACACATTCATACAATAAAATCTTCTACATGTGAACTCAAATTTTTTTTTGCCACTTTTCTAACAATACATTCTCCGAAAATTAATTATTCAAACCATTATTTTTGGTAAGGGTAATTGACACAAAACGTTCATGCCTTTCAAGTTTATTTTGGAAAACGTTCATACATTACATTTTTTGACATTTTTGCCCTTACTTTCCACATTTCTTTGAGCTGAACGTCATTTTCACCATTTTTAACGTAAGATGACCAAAATACCTTCCCATTTAAATAAAACAAAAAAATAAAAAATAAAAAATAAATTACAATCTTACTCCTAAATGTTTTAAAAAGTGTAAGTAAATCCTAATAATTATTAAAATGTCTAATAGTACAAAACATCCCTATGTTTGGACTATAGTGCGCATAACGTCCCTACGTTTCAATTTGTGAAAATGACGTTTTCCACAATGAAACATAGAAATAAGGATGAAAACGCTAAAAAATTGAAATGTAGGGATGTTTTCAACAAGAAGTGTCAAACGTGTGGATATTTTTTTGCTATTAGGCCATATTAAAATATTAAAAATAACAAAAAAAACTCTCTCTCTTCTTCTTCAAATGGGACTGCTACATTAGAAGTGATAAAACTCCGACCAACCATCGCCCAAACCGTCGAAACTTCATACCGTCAAACCATCTGTTCATATTTTAATACCATGAAGAGAGGCGCCCTAGTGAGTATAGTCGATTGGTATGTTGGAAATGACATGATCTTTCGAGAACAGGTGATGCCGTCAGTATTTTGCATTCGCGAGTTGAGTATTTTGGCTTGAAATTCTGAACAACTCTATTGGCATGAAGGTTTCAAGGTTAGATGTTGGGTGGTATGTGTAGAAATAAGTGAGGGCTTTTCAGTGGTGTGGTGGTCCAACAGTTTGGATGGTGGTTTGTTGGAATTTTTTTGACTTCTAAGGTGGTTGACCCCATTTGGAGAAGAAGAGAAGAGAGAGAGAGAGAGAGAGAGAGAGAGCCTCTTTTGTTATTTTTAATATTTTAATAAGGTCTCATAGCTAAAAAATCTCTACATTTGATATTTCTTACGGAAAACGTCCTTACATTTCATTTTTTTTTTTTTGCATTTTCATACCTATTTTTACATTTCATCGCGAAAAACGTTATTTTTTACCAATTTGAAATGTAGGGACCTTTTGCACACTATAGGCCAAAAATATATGGACATTTTGTACTATTAGACATTTTATAATTGTTTGGACTCACTTGCACTTTGTAAAAACATTTAAAAGATTGTAACTTATTTTTTATTTTTCTTTTTTTTTGGCTTTATTTAAATGAGAGAGTATTTTGGCCATTTTACTTTAAAAAATGGTGAAATGGATGTTTAGAGCAAAGAAATGTGGAAGGTAAGGGCAAAAATGTCAAAAAAATGAAAGATATGGATGTTTTTCACAATAAACTTAGAAGATAAGGATATTTTGTACCAATTACCATTTTTGATAAATTATGGCCCTAAAACATGGTCTAAATCAAATTAAAAGTACAATGATGATTTATTCAAAATTTTGTAGTTTGCTTAAGCAAATAAAGCTTTGAGCTTTCAAATGATTAAAGTCAAATATTTGAATTCAGGTTAGAATGTTCAATGCTTTCCTCATTGAAATTATAGAAGGTGTTTGGTGAGAATTAAAATTAATTTTTTAGTAGATTGTGATCGAAGTTTTTGAAATGTGTTGTAGAAAAGTTTTGAAATTCATGAAAGATGTGGTTAATATTAATTGTTTGACTTTGACTTTGACTTTGATTTAGGTTAAAATCAGATTTTAATTTGTACCAAACGGGCTCATAATATATTTCTATCTCATTTTCAATCACATATTTTTTAATAAAATAATATTTTAAGTAAATTGAAAATTTTTCTTTTTTTTTTTCAAACATTAATTCTCAAAAAAACACGATTACAAACATTATACATTTATAATGACAAATAATGGGGCAAATTGTGCTTAAAAATATCAAAATTCTCTCTCACATTTGGTCGATACTAGAAGAATAATCGCGTACCCCACCTCCAAATACTAATGGACGAAGCTAAGGTAACAAAAAAAAATGACAAAGGGCTTGACCGAATACACACATATACAGGAAGTTGGCCTTTTTTTATTCAAATAGACTCCTGATATTGTGAGATGATGTCACCCATCAATCAAACGTTTTTGGGGACTTCGACAAAATTCAATACTAAAATTCAAGAACAAAGCTGCAGAACTCGATATTAAATCCCGGGGCTGAGGTGGCTGATTTTGAATGTGGGAGCCCCATGAATTAAAATAAAGATCAAGGGCCGAGGTGGCAGATTTTGAATGAGGCGTTTCCGAACAATTTTGCGCCGCCCGATCGGACATTGAGAAGTTGCAGGGACTACGTTGCAGCGTGCGTCTTATGCCTAGGCCAATTGACCGACACGCCGCGCGATTTTGTCCCCACGCATGCCCTCCTTCCTGCATCGTTGTGCCTCACGACGATCTCGATTCGGGACAATTTTGCACCAATCGATCGAACATTGGGAAGTTGCCAGCACTACGTTGCAACGAGCGTCTTATGCCTAGGCCAATCGATCGACACGCCGCGCGGTTTCTTGCCCCCGTACATGCCCTCCGTCTGGATTATTCCTTCCACTCTCGTCGGGTCTTTACTCCGTCTCTGATTTTGAATGTGCGAGCCCCATGAATTAAAATAAGGATCAAGGGCCGAGGCGGCAGATTTTGAATGAGGTGGGCCCCATGAATTAAAGTCAAGGGTTTTAGCATCTCTCAAAATTCAAACCCCTCCATGAGCTACCGCTCTCGGTTAATGTGAGATGATGCCACCCATTGGTCAAACATTTTTTTCGGCAAAATTCAATACTAAAATTCAAACCCCTCCATAGGCTGCTGTTCTCTATCTTCGCCCCCCAGATTTTAGTCGATCGATTATTTCTTCAAATAAATCCGTTAATTAGTTAATCAATTCCATGGCGGAAGAGCAAGCAGAGGTGTCGAATAATGCATCGGCGGCACTGGGTCACTCGGTGATACCGATTGTGAACAAGCTACAGGATATCTTCGCTCAGCTCGGGAGCCAGTCCACGATCGAGTTGCCACAGGTGGCCGTAGTTGGCAGCCAGAGCAGTGGGAAATCTAGTGTTCTGGAGGCGCTCGTAGGGCGCGATTTCTTGCCTCGGGGAAATGATATCTGCACGCGCCGCCCTCTCGTGCTGCAACTCGTGCAGAGGAAGAGGAAGGCTGACGGAACTGACGAGGAGTGGGGGGAGTTCTTGCATTTACCGGGGAAGAGGTTCTTTGATTTCAATGAAATCAGGAAAGAGATTCAGGTGATTTATTCAATATATTATCTTCTGAAGTAATACCTTATACGAGGATTTTAAATTTTTGTGTTTTTTAAATCGTCAGAGGGGCTTGGAAATTAAAGTAATTACTATGTGCCTAGACATTAGAAAATGAGTTGGGGAATTTAGCATAAGTTTTGATTTTCGGTGAGACTGCCCCGAAAATTTGGTAAATGTATGGCAGGTTGGTTTTCCTTCTCTGTGTAGTCCTTAATCAAAATGTTTGAAGTTTCACATACTTTGTTTGGATAGGATTGTGTAACTTGAAAAAGAGAAGGGCAATCAATTTGTGTGGGAGTGTTTGGAAGGGTGGGTATTAGCATTCAAAAGAAGAAGTTGGCTATGACCTTTGAATTTGAGCTAGACCTCAATGAGGCCAAGGTAATTTTTTCAGAAGAACTCCGCATCTTTTGTGTGATTAAAACAAAATACATGTACTTAAGGATGTGCAATCGTCAGAGTATTTCTAGCCTTTTCAGTCGGGACGGATTAAAGATTTGATCTTTTATGATCCTGCTATTGGGTGGCCGTCTAGCCATGTGCTGTGTGGTGGATTTATTCGTGGAAAATATTGTTTTAATGGAGGAGCTTCAGCTGATTTTAGTCAATGATAGACAATTTGTGCATTCCTTCTTCACATGAATGGCTGTAATGTTGGGTTGGGCTACGATGCCAGTTGGGGGAATGGATAACCTGTCGTCTAGGTTCTTAAAGACATATGCAAACAGTGGTGTCATTGTTTATTTCTCTTCCCTACTCACCTGGACTTTAAAGGAGAAGTGTGGGTTTAGAGTTTAGAGAATATAAGGACTTCCAAGTCTCTTGACAATTGGGAATCACTTGGAGGGGTGTGAGAGAGTGCATTTGTGTTTATTCGTTTTCTTTTTTACCTCAAACAACAGATTCAAACTGCTGTCTTAAACCCAAAGCAGTTAAACGTTTTAAGTCTTTGTGATTTTAAATGCCAAATAGGATCCATCAGCTTGATGTACTGACCTAGTAAATATTCTTGTTCACATGCATGTTTAGTATTTTAAGTACTGTAATTGATTTAGTTTGCTTTTTTCCTAAATATATATATGAGGAAACTCTTATTCTTGTTGGATATGTGCAGCCTAACTATACTACACCTTTTTTCCCTCGACTGCAGTTCAGTGGTGGCAGGGTCGATAGGCCGGCCCCCTGGTTCAGGGGCTCTCCAAGGCACAATTTTTGTGATATAAGAATATTGAGAAGTTTACATGTGTATTAAGTCACGCAAATATTTTCACCTTATAAGGATATTACGGACAAGCTTAATTTCTGGTTGTGTAGAGAGAACACATAGAGGCATGAGATCAGAAAACAATGTAATTGTTCTTCTCCTTTGATATAGGGAAATCCTGTGGTGGTATCGAGTAGTCGTAACTCTCGCATTGAGAGTGAGCGACCCTAATTTTTTTTTCTTGTTTTCATTTTTTATTTCATGTTATTTATTGGTCTTGGTAATACTGATTAATCGATTAATCCATAACACTTCTAACATGCACTTCATGTATACATCATCAATATTTGGTCTGGTGCCTCTTCCTTTCTCTTCCCTGTTAGTTGAAAGTGGAAATATTATCTTGAATGGCAAAGAAACAATCTCTATTTAAGCTGAATGTTAGCTTTTTATTTGAAAAGCCACTTGTATTATGAAATGCTCATCCAGATCAGGACCTTTATCTCACATTGGAAATATGCATTCTAAACCTAATGGAATTTTCTACTTATTTGAAATATCATCTTGGTTGTAATAGTGCTAAATCGTACACTTGTATAGGATTACCCGTTTGATATGCTAATATAATGAGAATGGGTAACCATAGAAGTCGACCAATTTTATATCATTGTTGGCACCAGAGGGAGATCACATTGCAAGTGACAAACTTTGTTGCTTTAGCAGTTAACGCACTCTTTTTTCTTCCTACTTTTAGATTTTGATAATAGGTTCTCTAGTTTCTTATCTACAAATTCATGTAGGCTGAAACTGAAAGAGAAGCAGGAGGAAACAAAGGCGTTACAGACAAGAAAATCCGGCTGAAGATTTTTTCACCAAATGTTCTTGATATTACTCTTGTGGATTTGCCGGGGTTAACTAAAGTTCCTGTGGGTGATCAGCCATCTGACATAGAAGCACGTATTAGAACAATGATAATGTCATATATTAAACATCAAAGTTGCTTGATTTTGGCTGTTACACCAGCGAATTCTGATTTAGCCAACTCAGATGCTCTCCAGATGGCTGGAATGGCTGATCCTGATGGTACGTTCCGCCTTTGCATTAAGAAACTTACCACCGAACACAGTTTCATTCATTTCCAGAATATTATTGCTTTGGATTCTAAAGCTTATGAACCTAAGTTTCTGATTGCAGGTTTTCGAACAATTGGTGTAATTACTAAGGTGCAACGTGTTTACTATGAAGATGTTGTCCGTATAATTGCCTTTTGATGTTCTTATATATCTTACTGGTTTTCTGAACCTGGTTTTTTATGCATCAGCTGGATATTATGGACAGAGGAACCGATGCCCGCAATTTCTTGCTTGGAAAAGTGATTCCTCTCCGACTTGGATATGTAGGTGTTGTGAATCGTAGTCAGGAGGTAATATTTAGTTTCTCTTTGACAGTTTTTGTTTGCTAATAGCCTTGTTTTGTTTCGTTTTGTAGACTTCTGAACAAGTTGGTCATTGTTGTGCTTAAACAGGATGTACTGTTGAATCGGAGCATCAAGGATGCACTTGTAGCTGAGGAGAAGTTCTTTCGTGGTCGTCCAGTATGACCTACTCTTTCGTTATTAGTTGATATCCTTTCCTTCATTATTCATCTCTCTGCTCACAAAAAAATATATTCTGTAGGTTTATAGTGATCTTGCTGATCGTTGTGGGATTCCTCAGTTGGCCAAAAAATTAAACCAGGTACATAGAATGAGATGAATTTTCATGTATACTTTCAAAGTAGACAGCCTTGTTAAGGAAATGCTCTTATTTTGGTTCATGTGGTCTCTGGCAGAACGTATTTCTGCTTAACAATTCTATCTCATATGCAGAGAAAAATGCTTTCTAGTGCATGATACATGAGCAGTCTAAGCAGCTAGTTTTTATACTTTCCCATGTTTGGGCATACTCTTTAAATGGTGTAACATGCCAATAATATGACTATTGGCATATCCATTTTGTCACCTAGCTTGTAGGGGATTGCACATAAACGCTATGAACCTCACTGTAATATAATAGTTGAGTTGTATGCAACATGTTTTAATGATTGTTAAATTTTGTGAAAGGTTTATATTAATCAATATATGACAGTCTTTGTCCTTTTTATTCAGATACTGGTACAGCACATCAAAACGATTCTTCCAGGGTTGAAGTCACGCATCAGTGCTGCTTTGGTTTCTGTTGCAAAGGAGCATGCTAGCTATGGAGAGATCACCGAGTCAAAGGTTTCTTCTCATGTCTTGTTGGATGATTATTGCTTGAATTTATTGCCATACTAAGTGGAAGAACCTTCCATTTTAAATTTATGGAGAGAAGATAATAATTTTGTGCTATAATATTTTTCTCACCGTTCCATTTTCCTTAATAGGATAGATTAGCAATTGCAAAAGAATAACAGTTTATACAATAGGCTTGGACTTTTTGCGTTGAGGTTAACATTTTTTACCACTAGTATCAATCTTACAACTGGGTACCTCTTCTTTTTGTCTGCTTGTGGGAAACAGGCCGGTCAAGGAGCGCTGCTACTGAACATTCTTTCCAAGTATTCTGAAGGTACTTGGCCTCTATTTTCTTTATTCAAAAATAAAAATCATGTTTTCTATTCATGTTTATGTCCTTGGCTCGTCCCATAATCGATCCAAAGTGAACATGCCTTGGATTTTAACACAATAGTAATACAATGTACTGACATCACATTTTATCTTATCTTTCGGCACAAAAACTTAAATGGATTACTATAATAATACCCTTATAATCATAATTTTCCCCCAGTTATGCGTTTCTCTTATTATTCAGAATTCCTTCCGTCGTATTGCAAATAAGGTTATGAATAAGAATATTGCTTGTTGAACTTTAAATACACGTTTATGTGAACTTGTTTATTATAACATAGAACAACGAACAGGAATGTAGTATTTTTGCTCGTCTAACAAAGGATCTGACCATGACCGACTTCCAGCTCTGTTAATTTTAAGCCTTAATTGCATAACATCTCGTCCACAAATAATTATAGTTAATGCTAGCACTTATTGATGGCGCTGCCATTTTGTTTTTGGAAACAGCATTCTCTTCAATGGTAGAAGGAAAAAACGAAGAACTGTCAACATCCGAGCTGTCTGGTGGAGCAAGAATCCATTACATTTTCCAAAACATATTTGTGAAGAGCTTGGAGGTTTGTGGTGTTCATTTGAATGTTATCGACATGGATCGTGATTTCTTAGTTCTTACATTGTGAATTTTGTTGTAAATTGTTTTCCAACTAAAAAATGTGAATTTGATTGAGTATTTAGAATCCAGTCCTTTGTAGGATGTACAAATCATCACTGCCGAAACTATGGAAGTTGTATGGATGGAGAAAGAAAAAGTGAAGATTTTGTGAAACAGGAGGGTAAAAGATTTACTAAGTGAATAAGAAAGAATGAATTTAAACGTTAAATAAAAAACAGCATTTGCTTTCCCGGCCGATGGAGACGCTTTGGAGAATTGTTTGCGAATTACAAATTTTCTGTAAAGGGCATTTAGATTATTCCTTCACAAATCTTCATTATTTTACCCTTGAAATATGTC